TTCCCTAAACTGCCAGGGCAGGGCGTTGGATGCAGGATGCAAGGTAGCTGCGATTGCCAGTACAATTTTGGGGTGGGGATGGAGGAGCCTAAGCCAGTTTCCACATTTTCCAGAAAGGAAAAAGATGTGGTTTGGCTTTCAGCAGCCCAGGAAAGCTCCCATCAGCTTTACTGAGACAGGTTCCAGGTGACACCCCCAAAGCCACCAGCCACCCATTTGGTGCTCGCTGCTCCAGCAACGGTGGATCTCGAGGCAAATGGGATGCTCCCATGTCTGGTCCTTGATAAGCACTCGTTCCTGAATCAGTGCCTCTACAACGCAAGTAACAGTAATAACTACACGATTTGCAGAGTAGTGAATAAGGCAGCACATTATTCAGACATTATTAAGCAAAAACCAGCAATATGAGAAGGCTGTGCCATATGTCAGCACCGAAATCATCTGTACTTCTTACCTATTGCCCTTGTGGTTGCATTGCTATTTAGAAAAATCCGTGTGTAGAGGAGTGTCATAGGTGTACTCTGTGCGTGCGTGTATGTGCGTGCGTGTGTGTGTGTTGAAGCTTTATGTGCTATGCGGTGAGGGTGGGGAACAGAATTTGGGGGCTGGCTGTGTAGGCCTTCAGGATGTAAGCAGAAGGTCTTCAAGAGTTATATTTTTATAGACTGTGATGAAGCTTTGGGTCCCAGCCACACATAAGCTTTTCTTCCAGAAAAGCAGAATGGCATGGAAAGAGGGCCAGGTGGCTGTAATAAAGTAGGGACAGTACAACCCCACCAGCCCTGGACAAACTAAGAGAACTTAATAAAAGATGCCTTTTTAAGTCATATTTTTTTAGTGCTGAATTGTTAAATAAATATTTATGAGCGAACTTTCTATGTATTTAAAGTTTGTGTGGTGCTTTGTACTAACTAGGTGAACCTGTTACATGTTTACACATCTTAATGATTGTCCTTGAGGTGTACGTAGTAATTCAGTGAATTTTATGCCAGAAAAAACAACGAAGTCCTGTGTAATAGCAAATGATTTAATTTCTAATGAAATTGTAGGCTTTTGTAGTGTTTGTGTATCTTCTGGTTGGCAGTTACGAGTTATATTCCTTCTGCAGCAAGGCTTGTACGCTTGATTGTAGAGAGAGGCAATAGGATGGTAGATACCATTGTTTAAAAAGAAAACCCTAAATATTGCGACCTTATCCATTACAAAATCAGGTAAGTGGTGACAAGCCTGGCATTTAGATTTTGAGTTGGGATAATATACCCGATACATACAGGGCAGGTTAAAAATAGGTGAAGGATTTGTTTATTTAATGAAACAGGACTGGGAAATCTCGTAAGTCCTTAATAGCTGCATGGAAACAGGCGAGCCCAGGGACTGGAACTGCACTAGCTTGTGAAGCTGGCCAAGTGAACTTCATTGCTTGTGCTGAGTGAGTGCACAGATAGATGAGTAGGCTAAATGGGCAAAAACGAAGATTTTTTTTCCTCCAGTCTGTCAGCTGTAGCAACATGAAGAATTTAAGGAAAGTATCTGAATTTAAGTTCAATATATACATTGGCTTTCAGAAGAGTTCGGTTACCGACAAAATCCCATTCAGTCACAAGGCAAGCTGCTAACACGTTTGGGATCAAAAGCAAGATTTATTTTATATCTTGCTATAATTGATTTTTTTTTTCTTGTGGCTGGGAGAGCAGGGCTTAAAGCATACATTTCAATCTAATTTATTTATTTATTTATTCTATGTATTTATTTATTTACTTATTTATTTATGTGGCTGGACATTTGGGGATTCTCTAGAAAGTCTACAAGAGTCTGCAACATAAACCAGCCTGTGGGATACGATGTGCTCTTACCCCAACAGCTGGTGATCTGTGAGCATATTTAATGATGTCTCTTCTTAAGAAACAAGGCAGCATCCTCACCACACTTCTGACTAAAGCACTGCTGCAAAAAAATAAAAACAAAAATAAAGGGGGCAGAATTTATCAGAAGTTTTTGTCTCAAGTTTCCGAGTTCTGGGTATGTTAAAAGGACTGGTTGTGCCTTGCTGAGTTAGCAAAAAGATGCATCATGTAGATGGGTAATGCGTTGGGAAGTGTGGAGGTGTTGCTCTGAGTGAGTGGAGACGAGGGCTCTGGAGCTGTGGGGCTGTTCCTTTCTGAATGCTGCACCAAAGCTCTGATTTAGCACAGCTCTGTACGCACGTTGAAGTTACAGCACGTGATGAGCAGCCCGCTGCTTTCCTGCCTGTGGTGTAAGGCGGCAGGGTACTCATTCCCTCCGTTCTAGGAACCTAGCTTCACCATGAGATCTCCCTAGACTTCTTCTGTAGTGAGAAAGGGAATCTGTGAATTGTTCAGATGATTGAGGCCACTTTCTTGTTCTTTGGAAAGGAAAGGTACAGAAACATCAGCTGCTCTGGTAGCTTTCTCTTGTCCAGCTCAGCCACACCATACAAATGCACCCTAATTTTCTTCCCCCATCACTTCTGCTGGCCCTGGTCCTTGCCTGAATGAATGAAGTGAAGAAGCTAAACCAACAGGGAGCTCATCCAGCCAAAAAAACTGAAGCTTTCAGCTCCTTTAGCTCCCTGAACTTTCTCATCCTGGGAGCAGATGAGTGTTCGTGCTGCTGCAAGGCAGGGATTGGGAAGATGCAGCTGGACAAAAGAGGGGAGAATAAGATTGCCTCTCTTCCAGATGGTGAGGTGCTGGGCAAGCAGAGCCTAATTGCAAAGCTGCACTGTTAGCAATAAGAAGTCCTTGTCAGCTAAGTACTTGAAAGAAGAGCTACAGATGTAGTGATCCAAGCTTGGTGTTCTCAGTCCAGCCCATCCCCTGTGCCACAAAACCATTGTAGTGCAAAAGCATTATAGGTTTAGTGTGACTGTTTGTATCACCTACATGATGCTTATGCCCAGCAGAGTAGAAAATAACATATAATAAGGCAATTACCCAGCTAGGGAACGTAGTAGTTACATCTAGGAGGAGAAATTTCAGTCTGCTTTCACACTTGCACGGTGTCGGAACTGCCAGGTCTGGATCTCTGGGTCTTACTCTTAGTAAGTAGTCAAATAAGTAATGCAGGTTATCTGGGGATATACGTGGCATTGTTATTTATTTTTAAATACAGCATTTATTTATTTTTAAGTACAGCACCAAAGGTCTCTGGTTGATAAGGGGTTTTCAGAAGATGCCTTGCCAAGCGATGTGATACAGCCTGTCACAGGCGGCTTGGAGATCAGCATGCTTCTTGCGTTACACCTGTAGTAACCGGTGTTGGAAAACCACCTGCAGGCAGGTGCTCTTGTTCTGTGTTCTGGTGCCCAACAGACACTGTGAATACATGCCTTGGTCGGGAAGAAAGCTGTAGGGTTTGTTGCTGGATGTGGTGATGAAAAGGTCCTGGAAAGCTGAGCACCACCCGGTGATGCTATAATTTACTGTCAGGGACTGGGACTGTTAGTGCCAGGTAGCCCTTTCAGTCTTGTTTTCTTACCAAAATATGAGGTGTGACATCATGTATGCCATTTCAATATGCTTTTAGCTGGCTGAATGGGAAATACGAACAAAAAATGTTAAAAATGGGGGAGAGGGGTAACTGTGAATTTCTGTAAGATCCAAGTGACTAGAGAAATACCAACATTTGTCTCTAATTCAAAACTATTAAATATTGACCAAATGAGTGTCGTGTCTTCAACAGTGTGTAACACCTGGAAGAGGGCAATATTTAGGGTTTTTGCCCAAAGCACATTTAGTCCTGCTCTACTGTTTAGTGAAAATGCCCAGTGCAGATGCCACCAGAGCCTCATCTCGTAGAGTAACGCTGTAATAAAGAATGTGGTTTTCTTGTGGAAGTCTTAACCTCTTCTGATGAAAATAATACACGACTCAGTATTTTCATGGTGTACAAGTGAAATGTAATTTTTTTTTCAATAAAATTAATTTCCTTTCCTAAATGGTGATTATTTTTTTTTTTCCCTTGGTGATGTTTCTCTTTCCCCAGGTAACTGGGAGTGCCTGGCTTGCCTGGAGGTCAGGACTGTGGGATTCATGTGTTGGCATGTGATGATAGCAGATGCTATCATCAGTGTAACTCAGCCAGAGAATTTCAGCCTTCCTAACTCCGGGGACCCCCTGAAATATCCCCCCAGAAGCGGGTGCTGCCCCTGTGGCAGCTGCTGTCACCGCTGCCTGGCAGCGGGGTGATGGTTCTCTTTGTCCCCAACCCACTTACAGGAGGAAAAGCAATAGCAGGTAAGTGACTCTGTCAGGAGAGAGAGGAATAGTTTTGGGTGTAACTCGGCATTGAACAGGGAATTTAGCTCCTACATAAAGGCCCTGTTCCGCCTTTGAGTTCTGCTCATCCTACTCAAGCCCCAGGAGTGCTGGTGCAGATGCATCCCTCACATCTCTGTCCCAGCAGTGAACCACAGCCACTGCGAGCAGAGCCTTCTCCATGGAGCAGGCTGCTTGTCCCTATCCTAGAAACACAGTGGGCTTTTCTTCTTCTTTTCCTCTGGTAAGCTTTGTTTCAAACACAACAGAAGAGGGGTGCCAGGTGCCGAGCGTGCAGGGACAACACGAACCCCTGGCAGCTCCATCCTGTGCTCCTACGGCTGGCTTGTGAAGCTGTACCCTTGATCCAGCCCACAGCTCTTGAGTGAAAAAATCCCCAAACAGCAACACTACTAATGCTGGCAAAGGTTGAATTTTGTGTTTAATTTTTAAACCAAGTTTGGCTAAATTACTACCGCAGAAAAACTGGTGCCCTTGTCGGTACGAGCAAACACACTGCAGTAATCTACGGCCCCTTTTTGGAGGTCATCGACATTGTTCCCTGGAATTGAGTAATTCCAGAGACTTCGACTGCTTTCCAGGTGCTCTGCGAGCTGCATCCATTCCCTGAGCCACCGTGATGCCAGGAGCAGCATGGTGGGAAGGGGCAAGGGGCTGGAGGGAGAGCAATTTGGGGCTGGCTGTGACATCCCGCAGGCCCTGGCGATTGGGACATCCCACCAGGTGCCCCAGGCTTCAGCCAGGGCACTGCTGCTAGGCCATGCAGTGATGCTTGGCCTCGTGCCTGAGAGCTTTCCCTTCTTCACCAGCCCAAGTCCCTTCCCCACCTCTGAAATCCACATCCCCAGGGCCAAAACCAACCCACACAGGTGTGACATGCCTTGAAGGTGGGCCTTTCATTAGAGGCTGCCCGCCCACCAGGAGGAGGCAGAGATGAATAGCTCGAGCATGGGGGATCATTTAGAGAAGAGCAATGAAGCTGGTGAAGGGATGAGGAAACAAGATATGTGAGGAGCAACTGAAGAATTTGGGGTGTTTCGTTTGGAGAAGAGGCTGAGAGGAGACCTCATTGCTCTTCACAATGACCTGACAGGATGTCGCAGCAAGGTGGGTGTTGGTCTCTTCTCTCAGGTGACAAGCAGTAGGACTCAAGGAAATGGCCTGATATTGCACCATTGGAGGTTTAGATTGGATATTAAGAAGAATGTCTTCATGGGGAGGGTGGTCAAGCATTGGAGAGGGCTGCCCAGGGATGTGGAGGAGCCCCCAGCTCTGGAGGCATTATGAGAGACATGGGGACGTGGCACTGAGGGGCATGGCTTAGTGATGGGACTCAGTAGGTCAGGCTGATGGTTGGACTTGACGATGTTGAAGGACTTTTCCAGCCTAGGTGATTCTATGATTTATTGCAGCCACAGCAGTCGGAATGGCCGCAGAGTTCTTTAAAATAAATCCATCACAGACTTAAAAAATAATAATAATTATTGGGATGTTACCTCCAAGCATCTCTGAGAGGCTTGTTTTCCTTCTCTAGAGCAAGCTGGTGAGCTGCCACACACCTTCCCAGGCTCACCTGCTCAGGTGAGACCCAGGTGGGTGAAGATCATTCTCAGCACCTGGCTGAACCCACAACTCATGAGCTTGCTGGGAGGCCTTGGGATAGGTTCAACTCCCAGCATGAAGGTTCTTTCTGCAGGAGTCCTGGTGGTCTATAAAAAACATTGACAGCGAGCCTCCTGCTTTGTGCAGACAAAAGGAGATGGGAAGTGGAAAAGAAAGATGAAAAAGAACAATCTCTGCAGTGTTAAATGGGCAAAAATGCAATGGAGAGAAAAAGAAAAAAATAATAGAAAGACTTAAAAAAACACAACAACAACAGAGTTTTGTTCTCAAGTGTTCAGAAGGAAATGACCGTTACTGTGGTGTATTTAATGGCTTTGGAAAATACTGTAGAGGATCTAGTTTGCCTTTTCCTGGCCTGTTACGGTAGCACTGCACTTGCATCTGGGCTGGAAACTTCCTGATCATGCCACAGAGCAAATGGTGTGGTCGGGCTCAGCACTTGGTGGCAGTGCTGCTGTTCTGGCTGAACATGCCCTGTGCCACATATTTGTCTAGGAAAGGTGGAAACGGGGCTTTTCTTTTCACAGTAAAAAAGGCTATGTCCAGGTCATCCCCATCTAACCTCCCAAAGTCTCATAAACATGAACAGGTGGTGCTTGAACTGAAGCTGATGAGTAGTCCCACAAGAAGTTAATGGTTCTTCCCTGTCACAAAACTAAGCATGTCTATGAGCTACCACACAGCCTCCCGGATGTGATGGGAGGCTCTTCAGGATCCTTCCTGAAAAGAGGCAGAGTGTCCTGGTCCAGTGAAAGTAAAACGTGACCTTCCACAGTCAGTGCTATCTCTGTGCCCCCATACTTCTGCCCCTGTAGACAAGGGAATAACATTTCTGTCTTGTAAAGAAGAGCTGTGAGGTAAACTCACTTGTGTGTGAAGCAGTTGAATGTCACAGATATGAGGGACTTGCAAGCAGGTGGGCAAATGTGGCAGTCAGTGGGGTGGAGTTGGGGGTGCTGTGGCATGCCTGGGGTACTATCCCTCCCCCTCCTTATTTTGGAGCCCATGAGTGAGCCTGTTTTCTCAAGGAAATCCTGGCTTTGCTCATCTTTGGTGGCATCACAGTGCACTTGCTCAGGCATTATCCTCCTACCTTCAGTCTGTGAAAGAACAAAAGCCCACACCAACCTCCCCTGTCACTAATGTGTCTGGGCTTTCTCCAGACACCAATATCACCTCCAGACCTATTTTATGGCTAGCCACAGCTGCAGCATGCAGGGAACTCTGAGGGTGGTCGGGCCCTGGCACAGGCTGCCCAGAGAAGCTGTGGGTGCCCCATCCCTGGAGGTGCTCAAGGCCAGGCTGGATGGGGCTTTGGGCAGCCTGGGCTGGGGGGAGGTGTCCCTGCCCATGGCAGGGGGGCGGAACCAGGTGGTCTTTAAGGTCCCTTCCAACCCAAACCAGGCTGTGGTTCTGTGAGTCTATGACTCTGTGAACCCAGCAGGACCAAGCCGAGCACATGTTGTCTGCCTGCTGTGGGACAGAGGCTCCTGGCCGGTCCTTGCTGTTTGGATTTGGCACTGGCGTGGCTGTGCAGAGGTACCACAAGTATTCAAATCTACCTCACCTGAACAGCAAACTGAAGGAAGATGGGCTGGCATGGGGCTGAGGCTAAGCTGGACCAACCTGCTGGCAATGATTTCTCTGTGCTGCTGTGCCCAGCTGGTTGTCATTAATATGAGCAGGGTGTGTGTGTGTGTGTGTGTTTTAACCACCTCTTGCTCTCCTTTAATAACTCTGCGGCCTCCAATTTTCCATGGAATGAGTATATTTTGTCTCTCATAGCTGTACAAATGATTCTGGGATGCTCATGTACCTCAGTGATGTGTGTGTATAGGTACGCATTTGTCCCCTCGTGGAATCAATGTGCAGCAAATCTCCCTAAGAGACCCCTGTACCTCAGAAGAAAAAGGGTTTGGCTGTGGACCAAGCGGAGTGATTTTATTGCAGTTTGGTTACTGCTTAACTTTCGTTAATCTGTGGTGAATGCACATTTTAAGTGAACAAGCACAAGTGATAATCTAAACGCTTTAAAACTTAGCGTGACTGGGCCCAGGGTTTACTCTCGAGTTATCATTAGAGCAGCATAGTCACGTTGAGCTGATACTGATAAACCCTTCTCATCCTTTGGTCTTCTGTCAGCCCTGGAGAGCAAGGGGAAAAACAAACTGAAAGGGCTCTAGCTAGCTGACTGCCCAAGACTACACAAAATTCATCTAAAAATAGCAAGTTGTTGTTATAATAGACATGCAGAAAAACAGGACAGATTATGATAAAGTAAAAGGCTCCCCCTTCTGTCCTTTGCAAAAAATTCACTTGAGTGAGCTCTCTATCAAATAAAACCTTGATGAGTAGAGCATGTGTTTAATTGTCTGAAGGTGCATCCCACATGGGAAACCCCGAAACTCATGTGGTGCCTGCTGTGGCAGTCCAGGAACACAGGTCTCGAGGGTGCTGTGCAGTCAAGAAATTCAGATTGTAGTTCAGCAGTTCGTGAACCTTGTCCTGAAGTGCTGACCTTCAGGGCACCGTGTGGCCCCACATGCTGTGCTCAATGCTGGAGCTGAAGTGTAGCAGGGAAGGAAGAAGGATCTTGGCTTTTGGAGGGTCTTTTAACCCTTTTTTTCATCTTAAAACGTGGTTTTAATTAGCTGACACTCTGTGTGGGCTTGCAAAGAGCCAAGGCAAGGCTGAAAGAGAGGAACTGTATGGTGGTTTCCATTTCAAAATGAAGTGACTCATAATCCAAGGCATTAACCCATGACCTTCATGATTATAAATTGATTTTGGTCTTAATTCACTTTTAAAGGACTGGGGTTTTCTTTGCCTTTTTCTTGAAGGCTCTAATTCCACCTCAGGACTGTGGAATCAGCCTGGGGAAATCTTTCATAAGCCCTGGAGAGGGGGGATGGAGCAGGCAAGAGCTGTAAGGCTACAATGCCTGTACATGCATGTGCAGGGTACCTCCAGCACTGCCCCTTGAAAGTGTTTCAGCTATAGCCAGCAATTCTGCTAACGTGTTTTCCAAGAGATGCCCAGTGGGTAGAAATCTCTGTTATTCCATCCCCCGAGGGCTATCAGGTCTGGAAAGCTCTTCACCCCCTCCAGACTAGCCTACTGACACGGTGCCCCGTTTAAGTAAACTTTCAAAGACACAGAAGTGGTTCAGGAGCAGTTTCATGCTGACCTTGGGACTGGAGCAAAACCTCGCTGAACTCTTGTGGTGTGCATTGAGGTGAAGGGTGCTTTTTGCCCTGTGCTGGTCCAGGAGCCAGGGACAAGCTAAACAATAACTTGGGAATTGAAGCCCAGTGGTCTTAAAGAAATGCAAAGCAGAGTTGTTCATGGTGCATGTTGTTTTTTTGTAGCTTAGGGTCAAATTCCTCCTTCCAAAAACCACCTGGTACTCGCCACATAGGGTCATTGAAAAGACAGAGAAGGAATGTGGAGTATTCCTCTGCAAGGTTATTTAGCAATACCACTTGAAGGTATCAATGCTCTGCAGCCTTGCTCCCTCACACTCATGCAACAAACACTTCTATTGATGGCACACTGATGAACCTCCCTGGTTCTCCAAGATGCTTTCATAGTAGTAACTCTGTCCCCACCAGCTCTCTTCCTTGTTGCTTACTATTAACATTTGCTTTTCTAAACAAAACAAAAAAAAAAGGTGATGTTTTGTATGTAGTTCATGTCATGAGTTTAGCATATTTTTAAATTATTATATTTTATTGAAAGAGAGGTGAACATTGACCAAGGGGGGCTGAGGTCTACCTATTTTCACCTCAGACTGCTCCCTGCCCAGTGTTTGGCACTGGTTTCTGTCTCTCCTGGAAAAGTCGTAAGTTAAACCGGCCTCCACAAGAGCCTCCTCCCCTCTTGATTTGACCCACCCTCTCACTGTTTGAGGCCCCACCAAACTGCCAGACGTTCCTGTCAAACTATTCCTGGCTCTGGCCGTCTCACACCCCAGCCATCCACAGAAGAAAATATGATGAGGAGCCCCAAGACCTGTGTTTACCTCCTTTTGCCAGGCTGAAATCACATCCTTTATGGGAAACTCGATGGGGAACCTTTGCCTCTGCTGCTCAGCCCAGCACTGCCCAGGTCTCCCACCCTCTGGACTCCTTGCCCTGTGCCACCAGCTTTGTCTTTGGAGGATGTATTTCTTTCCATCCGCTGGTAATTCCCTTTAGGAGCAGTCAGATCTTGCTCTCCATGAGTCACCATTACCCAACCTACTGTAATTTTGTAATACTTTGATAAGTTTCCTGCAGTGTCTTATTTGATCTGTTCCACATATTTTCCTCTGTGTCTAGTCACCCCTCATTCTGCTTCAAATCCTGCAATGCTTGCTTGTTCTCCCTCCTCGCTTCCCTGCTTTGCATTCATACTGAAAACTGAGACGTGCAAAGGTGTTGTGATCTGCTTTCATTATTTTTTTTCCCCTCTTGTGACTTTGAGTTAAAGAACAGAGAAAAGCA